CTAGTCTTACACTGCTAAATTAGGGACGGCTAGCGCAGATAGCCCTCGTGTAGCTTTGCGCGAAATTCCAAAAACAAACAATCTCTTTACCTATATGTCTACCTATTTATCTATTTCCTGTGAACTATAAACAAGCAGCATGGTCTAATAAAATGTATAAACACTTTATAAAATATGAATTTCTATTATGTAGGTTAGAACACATTTTTTTATTTTCCATATTTTTACATAAATCTGAAATGTTATGCACATAAGCGTCACACACACACACCCATGTTGTTTAATATATTATAAAATTAAATTCATTTGTAATATCAGTTTAAGTTTCGTAAATCCCCATGACTCCCCTTGTAGCACCTAATCTCATCTGTGTTTACTTTCTTCTCTTACTTAGCAGATCTGAAACGTATAAATCAAACTTATGGCTTTGTATATTTTCCAACAGTCCAGCAATTTTACTCTTACTTATGATTATGTATCCATCCTGCAGCGGCGTAGGAAGCGGGAGGCCTAGGTCCCACCATATTTCAGTCTGTCCCAGTAAAAAAATGAATCAAAATTAGGGAAATTACTCTCAGGAAAAGCAGGAGAATGCATAAAATTTAATCCAGAACCCAAGAGTTTCTAGGGCTTAAGGTGAACCCTGGCCGTAATGGTTGCATCTGAACTGTTGCGAATATTTTCTCACTTCCCTCGGTCACATGAACTTTGCTCCCCACTCCCACACACACTTTTAATTTGCCTCCTACACCTATGTCCTGGTAACTCTGCAATATGTAATCTCACCTTGAATTATATACACCTTTCAGCAAACATACAATACCTCATTTCACCTATAAATATATACACACCTGAAAAATACATTATATTACACAAGTGATTTTATACGTCACCTAGCAAACCTACAGCATCTAACCATACCAGTGCTATGCAAAATACAAAAAATAAACGTACAACATCTAATCATATCAGTGACTTTGCTCATTACAGACAAACTTAGAACATCTAATCATACCAGTGACTATACACATAACCTGACAATCATACAACATTTAATATCACTAGTGATTATGTACATCATCATCTAGCAACTTTACAATATGCAATCTCACCAGTGATTATTTACGTCATTTAGCAACCTTATAACATTTAATCTTACCAGTGATTATATTTATCATTGTCTAGCAACTTTACAATATCTAATCTCACCAGTGATTATGTACGTTATATAGTAACCTTATAACATATAATATCACCAGTTATTATGTACCTTTTCTAGCAAACCTACAATCTTATATCAGGTTAATTAATTAAATAGTTAAGTTAAATGTTTCATGGATTTGTTATCATAAATGGATGTAGTCTTTACTTTCTGGCTTCTATTTTGTATTTTCACAGATATGTCTGTTGCAATATACACATTCGATCATTATTTTTAAATCTTTTTTTTTTCATCTCAGAGTTTCAATTAGTGTAAAACACATAAATATTTGTTACTGAACAATATAACACAAACAATGCTTAATTGTGCATACCGTATTCAACTATGGAACAGTATATCCACCAAGACAGTGGCCCTTGATTCAAAACAATGACCCACGTTCAAAACCTGCGCTTCCGAAACTTTGATAAATCAAGAAGGTAACATGTAACGTCGAAACAATAATGATGCACATGTTACTGGTGATAAGATTACATATATCTGCTGAATTCTACATCCGGGAACATTGTATGTTATATAGAAACGGTCGTAAAAGGTGATGTTCAGATCCTATAACAAGAAGGTGTATAAAACAAACACTGACATATTTATAATATACGCTATACTGCATTGTTGCCTGATCACAATGTAAAAGTGGAGAACGTACAAACCTGCAAACACAAGAAAATATTGTTGCAAAAAAATAGCTGCTATAACAGTAGATAATGTGAAGTTGACTCTATCGCAAGTAAAAGCGGCTCTGTGCTAATCTTAAGGACTTATAGCTCTAAACTTACATTATACGTTCAGCAAGTTCTTAGTGTTCCATACTTTGAAACGTGTTGAGGAGTTATCGTTTTAATGTTCTACTGAATCAAATTATCAATTACACGTTTATTCAATAAAAAATAAAATATATTGCTTCATCTTTCAACTTGCAATTTATCGCTAGTAAAAGAAGTTGCAGAAAAAAGACGATTAAAAATCACGAGTTGAAAGCTTGAAACCGGAAGGCCAAAATTTAGAATGTATTTCAAAATATGGTCTTTGTAAAGCGTACGGCTACAGAGATACAATTGATATAATTGTACAAGTTCCCAGCCTCGCCCCTTTAGAAAACCGGTACAGTACGCTGGCTGTCTCTTACTTGTTGCTGGAATAAATTGGGTCAAGACCCTTGGAGAAACTGCTGGTGACAGGGTTTGAAGGTCGTAATAAGCACTCCTATAAAAGTGCGATAGTTGTTATAATTTACTATTTCGTCCAAATTTTCCTTTATAGCGTGGTATATACAGAGCAACTAGAGGAAGAAATGTATCGCTGGGTAAGTTGAATATAGCCATATTCTCCAAGTTTGTACAGTTTAGTGTTCAACCTATACGTCTGAGGAACATCAGTAGTGGATTAATAAGCAGCTAAATGCTAGTCATCACTTATTTTGCTAACGTGTTATGAGTATGCCACTGTGTTCATCTTTGTCTTCAAACGGATAAAAAAAAAAACAGTGAAGAAGCGCTTTGAACAAAAAAAAGATTGTTTCATAAAATATGTATATTTTTTATTCTGAAAATATTTAAAACTTGTCTTAAATATCCGAGGACAAAATGGTACCAACAAAAACCAAATTGTGACTTGTATAATTTTTGCTGAAAATCCAAGCGTGACCTCAGAAATAAGTAAACTTTTATCTCTCTAATAACCGTGATGAAAGAATTAGTCCAAAGGATTACTAAAAAACAAATCAAATAGACTTCAAAAGACCCAGAAATTCCTATGCTTTCTAACAGTTGAACTATTGTAAAGTTCGCGAGTCTCTGGTCTCTTGAAATTTAGCACTCTGATAGATATTGTTGGTCTAATAGACATTGTTGGTCAGAAATTTCCTGAATACTGAAACTCCCTCTTTCTACGTAATGAAGAGATAGTAGACGAAGCGTGATTGAAAATTCAATGTTGTTACCTAAAATTTTTAAAACGCTTTCTTTCCAAACAAAAACATGTAACCTACCGCTAAGTGTAACTAGCCTGGGTAAAATATGTATGACAAAAAAGTAGCACCACCTAACTTGTAAGCCTTCATTACAAGTTTAAATACATTACATAAAATTGTATCTTCAGTTATGTTGTGAAATAGACTTTATTTCAAGCACTCAAAGAAAACGAGTTTCTCTGAAAAATGCTGATTGATATATAACTGTATTTTGAAATATAAACTCCAAACATTCAATGTTTGGCTATACATTGTTTTTATAACTTGAAGAGTTATTTTTTTCTTTCCTTTAGGTGGTTCTTGCTCTCTTCTTTAGTGTTGTTGCTGCTGGAGACTATTTTGCTACCGGCTTAGGAACTTTGGATCCAAACTACAGCCAGAAGCTTGGAGCTGATGGTCAAGTCCACTTGGATTTCCGCCAGAAAAAAAACGGATTTTCGTACTCTGTTTCCGACGCTGGTAGCCCGAATGGGGCAAATCAGCAACAAACGAGTATTTCTAAAGACGCTCTAGGAGGTCATACGATTCAGCACGCAGCCCATGGACTTCAAACAAACCCTTACACTGGATCTACGAATATCAAGCACTCTGAACATGCCTTCCATATCAATCCTTATCTAGGTAAAGCAGCTGTCCATTCCAATGACGCTGCTGGTCATCTCAGCCCTCTGACCGCCTCTGCAGCCTATCAGCAGAATAACTACGACGCTCAGATAGCTCCGGGTCTTAGTGCTCTCCAAAAAGGCCAGGCAGCTGCCTCCATCTCTCCTTATGGCAACCACGCTAGCCACGCTGTCCACAATGCCCACGCCGCCGCCGTGCCCGGAGGAGTAGCCCACGCTGCTCATACAGCTCAGGCAGTTCACGCTAACCACCCAGGTCTAGGAGGTTACACTCAAGCTCACGCCGCTGATGTACAGGGTTTTCAGGGTCCTGGCTACGGTGCCCTGACCCAAGCTGCTCAGAATACAGGTGCTTCTTATGGGCCTTATGGACTTGCCGCTCAAGTCAAACAGGACGGCTATGCTGCTGACAATGTCTACAATGCTCATATAAATTACGCCGCTGGAAATCAGCACGCTTTCGCTCATCATGCTCACCGTGATCCTTACAGTGGGTATCAGCAAGTTACTCACACTGCCAACACTGCTCATGAAAGTCCGATATACCCTAGCCACTACGCTGGTGCCACTAGCTACGTACAAGGCGGATATGCCCCTGTTCCTCACGCCAGCCACGGCTACGTGCAAGGTGGATATGCCCCTGTTCAACACGCCAGCCACGGCTACGTGCAAGGTGGATATGCCCCTGTTCAACACGCCAGCCACGGCTACGTACAAGGTGGATATGCTCCTGTACAGCATGCCAGTCATGGATATGCAAATGTAGCTTACGGCTCTGTTCCCGAAACCTATCCCTACGGTCACAAAAAATAGACAATTTCTTTAATATTACAGCACAATGCATATTTGCCCATGCAACGATGTCTTAAAATAACACTAAACGAAATTAAAACACTCATATGCTGTTTGTAACATAGGGTAGGTCTCGAAATCTGAAATTTTAACGTAGCATTTAATTTAAATCTCCTTGACTTGTATTTCTATGCAGGATAAAAGATTAATTTCTAAAGTTTTTAAGACAATGTTGCTACAAAGTTCTGATCCAAGAGTCGATCTTAATTCTTACATTTTTTTTATATATTTAAGTTGTAGAATTTATTTATATTTGAGACAGTTTGCCGTACGTATGTATAAAAGACACTACGGGATCGACTAGTACAGGGATTATAAGGGCATGGTTTGATTCTACTTGATTCTGAGGTTGTAGATATATTCAATAACTATTACGAAATCACGGAATGAGAATTGAAAACGGATGTGTCGCTTTTGTACTTGATGAAAAGTTGTTCAAGAATTTGTTCAAAATGTGCGTGTTATCTAACTTTGTTCTCATTTTATTCCTGTAATGCTATTTTCAAAGCTGTCGTCTAAATTCCTAATAAAACTGACTTGACTTACCAATTTCTAACTCATTTTTTCTTGCTTACCAAACAATATCTGTCAAAATAATATTGAAGAAAACAATAGAGTACAAAAGTCAATGTTCAATTTCCCATGTGGAAAAAATGTAAAACAAAAAATATATCTGAGCAGTGTTGTCTTTTGATGTTAAAATCAATGAGTGATTTCTTCTCATATGAAGGAGATGACCGTTGCTTTAGTTTCATCCTCTGCAACGTTAATACAAATGTAGGTAAACAATCAATATACATCCTACAACCAAAACAGATAGTATTATATTTGCAAGAGAATTAAAAACAAAAACAACTTGTTACCAGTGTAATCATGATAAGTTCTTAAACCATATAGAACAAGACTACGTTAACACTGGGTAAAAACATTCTAAGAATTATATCTCGACCAATTAAAACTGAAATAGCAACAACACCCCCTAGAGGCAAGATTGATCAGTTCTACAAAGGAAGCAAACAAACTGAATTAATTCCTATTGGGGTTTTGAGTCCGTTTACTTGACCATATATATATATATATATATAAACTGAATTAATTCCTATTGGGTTTTGAGTCCGTTTTAATTGACCATATATATATAAACTGAATTAATGTTTTACCGTAAGGTATGTATGTAATGAAAATGGCATAAGATTAGCTTAATATTAAAATTATGTCTTAATCAACGTTACTGTTTAGTGTAAAGACGAAGAGTTCGCCGGTTAATTTAAGGAAACGTCAGTAAATGCTCTAATCCAGAGATCTTCGGTAAGTAGTTTAATCATGAATTGGTATTTGCAGGCATAATACACAAATAATACATTCGGGCCCGTACGCAGAATGTTTGAAATGGGGGAGGGGTTCTTATTTGTGACATCAAAAGCCAACATATATTGCTCGAAGCACAATCAGCATGCAAATTATGCTAAATAACATGTTAACATTCTCCATTTTTCTGGGGTGCTTTTCCATAAATAACTTACATACAGTTTCAATGTTGATAACAATGTCATAATGATTATGTATTAAAGCTTGAGCACTCAGTCTTTGTTGAACTTGTGAACACTTCAAGTAATAATTCAACCGGCGAAGAGCAGATGCCGAACGTTCACATGAACATGAGCTTAGTGGCAGTGTAGCAAAGAGTTTCTGTAACATAAGCACGCTTTGACGAAAAAGAGACAATTATTTAAAGCTCTAGACACAACTGTGATAGCAAACTGTGTAACGATAATTTGTATATACGTTTGACTTGTTTTAATATATTGTTTTAAAACAAGTGGACTGGGTCGCTGGTCGTTTATTTTTGAAATTTATCACCAACAAGTTACAGACACCTATTGTATAGAATACGGCTTCGGCTTTTAGTTACAAAGTGTCAACAGAAGACATATTATGTGACTATTTAACGCCAAAAAAAATGTTAATACTTCATCAGAAGAAAGTAGACTATGTAGAAAACATAAGAAGCTGTGGTATAACTATACAATCATAATTTCCATTCCCTTGCGTACATGCGTGACATTAAGTTTAATTTTACTTTTTTCGCCTTTTGAAAATTGGAGATATTTTCCTGATTTAATTGTCATATTACATTAACCTTATGACTACTGATTGGATCCATATGAACCTCCGTTGGCTTTTCAAACATTTTTGTAAACTATTTATGTATCAAATCACTTGTGGACCATGGCTTTGTTGCTTACGCGGCCACACAAACAATATAAACAAACATACCACCAATATTACAATTAATCGCACTAATTATTACTGGGGTTCCTTATGTCTTTTACACAGAAAACAAGTGATTTCAACTATTTTTTATGGTTCTTTACACTGAGTGTTGTAACAGACAAAAACATAAAACTACTCAAAATTATGTAATATGTGATCCCCACCAGCAGTGAACGATTTAGAAGCAAATAGGAAATTTGAGGGTTATATAATTATTGAAGCCGACACACTAAAACAAACAAGAGGTTGAATTTAGGCAACACATACTTATAACTGATTCTTGAATGGGAATTTCACATTTGGGATCTTTAGTGTTTCCGACTATCCGCTAGGGATTTCTGTCTGGCTATCTGCTGTGTCCACCTCGAGAATCGAACTCCGGATTTTAGTGTTGCAAGTCGGTAAGTAGCTATCAGAAGACTACATGCGTGTGCTGATTGACCTCTTCAGGTGGGTAGAGGAGGGTGGAGAGATGAGAGCGCCATAGTTACACGAAGTGGCATCAAAGAGCGTAAGGTGTTACTAAGGTTCTATAAGTAGATGGTGTTTTTATAGGCGGACAGTGTTACTGTACTTCCGTAGGATTGCATACAGATTTCAACTCGTCTCAACACATGTTGACAATTATTTTATATCTTTCACTTACATATGTTTTACTAAGGCTGACAGTGCTTCTGTGGGCGGGTGATGTTAGTAAGGTTCTATGTTAGCACAGGACAATGTTAGTATTGTTCGTAGGATCATCAATTAATGAATAGTATTTTACCTTATTTGCCTAGCATACTTTTTAGAAATCCTGAAAATAGCGGATTTTTCGTGATAATATCTGTAAATATCATGCAATAATTTAACATTACAATCTTACTGTTTCCCTATTTTGGCTTTATTGATTAAATATAATCATATGCTATTACTCTACCCATATAACTATACGTTTTATTGTGCATAGCAATAAATGAGTTATTGACAAAATATTTCATTTTATTCGTGTTGATACTTTATAGTTTCACTCACATGTGTTTTACAAAGGCTGACAGTGCTTCTATAGACGCATATGACTGCATACGGATTTCAACTTGTCTCTAGTTTTCATTTATAAATTTAATTATATTACATGGATTTCTCAGAGGCAGGTGGTGTTTCTATAGCTGGATGGTCGTACTAAGGATAGTGCTGCTATGGCGGATGGTGTTTCTATGGGTGACAGGGTTACTATACTTCCGCAGGATTGCATACAGATTTCAACTTGTCTCAGTTTATGTTTGTAGTTTTTATTTGTATATCTAATTGCGTACGTGTTAGAAAGACGGGTGGAGTTACTAGATCGATTGTGTTACTAAGGTCAATGTTTGTATAGGCGGATCGTGTTTCTATAAACTTGGTAATTCAATAGGCTGATGATCTTATTGTAGGGTGCCTCAACATGAGATTATGTCATCAATGTCTAGATTTAAGTTTATGTCCTAAAAGTTATAAGTAAAAACCATAAAATTAACGAGATAAATATTACAACGGCTGTTACATATGTCAGTTTTTATTACACATAGTATCCATTATTTGAACGTGGCAAACATTATAGCCAAATATTTACTTTACGTATCTGTCGCCATAAGTGTAAAACACTTTACTAATTCATTAGTTCTAAAGTTTTTGCTTTTATACCTAATTTGCATGACATACTTTTAGCATTTTCTGATGTTTTATGTGTAAAACACTTATCTCTAATTCACTTGCTCTATAGTTTTCATTTCTATATCTATTTTATAACATCTATTCATCCTGAAAAGGTCGCATATTGGAGCAATTTTGCAAGGAAGAATGGGCAAACATTACACCACCCCATTGTGCAAACCTGGTAGAGACCTATCCAAAAAGACTCACACAAACTCCATACGAGATTTAATAAGATGACTCTTTTTCAATAATGTCTTCTTTCTTGCCACTCGCCCATACAGGCCAGCTTTATGTAGGTACTTGGATATTGTCGATGTAGAACACTGGCTCTCATTTCAGACATGGAACTTTGCAAATCTTTCAAAGTCATCGTTGGCTTCAGAGTGGCATTCCTAACTGGTTTCATGCTTGCTTGGCTGCTTAGTTTGGAAGGGCGGCCTGATCTTGGTAGTGACTGGGTGGTATGAAGCACATTCCACTTCTTATTGATGGGTTTCACCGTACTCAAAGAGATAATTAGCGACTTTGAAATTTTCTTGTAACCTTCTTTTGATCTGTGCTTCTCTACCACTTTATCCCTGACCTGTTTGGAAACTCATTGGTCTTCGTGGTTGGTTTTTCGTATCATTATGTGAGTTGTGGCATGAACAGACGCGTTTATTCTGACCACTTTAATTACACACAGACAGAGACCATTTCAAACTAATCTTTTGCACCTGAATTGATTTAGGGTTGCCATAGCAAAAGGATTGAATACTTATGCAACTGAAAATATTCTAATTTTCTTTGAAAATCTAAGTTACATAATATCAGCTTTTTTTTAGCTTTCTCAGTTTGGAGTAGATTGTGTACATTCGAGATATATAGCTCCATTTGAAAGTTTCATGATTGCAGGCTCAGACGGCAATAAAATATGGAACTTTGCAGGGGGTGAAACCTGTATGCATTCTATGGAAGTATAGTAACATTGTCTGCCTATAGAACCTTAGTAAAACCGTCCGCCTATCTAGTAGTCCGCTCTCGAACTACCATCGCGCTCATTATACCAACTCGCCATCTGGTGCTGCTTCGTGGAACTATGACACCATCGTCTATACTCCCTCCCCTACACTCTGAGGCAATCAATCAGCTCGAGCGTCGGTAGTGTCTCGATATCTACTTTCGTAGACTTACCGCTGTCCCACCAGCAGAGTACTAATGATGTTGGGTTGTATTTATTTACTGCACTGAAAACTAAACGCAAGCAGAGCATTATTTAATTTCATTTGTAAGAACGTATCCAAGTGTTATAACTTTTGCTCGTTAAACCTATGAAATATATTATCATTATGAATTTATAGTCACTTACAAAAAACAGGAGTCCAAGTGCTATGTTGACCACAGTATGGTCATCTATCCTGCTATTTTGTTTATTTTTGCCAATTTTAGGATTCTTCTGAATACAATCCATATTATTTAAATTACAAAACGAACGACAAATACATTTGCTATCTAATATACAGAGGCTGAGCACGTTATATTAAGGCGATTTTAGAGCCTCACCACACCACTACAAGACGTGTCGCCAAGTTTAATTTCTAAACTTCTAG